TTCGTTATAGTGGAAATTCGTTATAGTGGACAAAAATGCCCGGAACCGAGTGTCCACTATAACGAGCTTTGACTGTATATGTAATTTTTTTAAATAAAAAATAAATTTTTTGCTCAACACAACGAATAAAATAAAAATATCGATGATATAATAATATGACTGGCTAATGTTGATGCTCTGAGTGAATATATAGATACCTTGTATTTTTTGAATGTAACGCGTAAAGCCAAATAATACATAGAACGCCATTTCGGAATTAAGTGCCTTGGCCCTCGAATTTGAATACAACGTAAAAAGCAAAACCAATGTACCGATTTTTTGAATAGCGGGTCTATTTATATGTTTTTGTTGTAATTTATTAGACTACTCGATTAATGCACCTTATGGCCATGAAATAGTCTATTTTTATTAAAGATTGCATCATTAATCATGACTAAAGTCAAAAGTCAAAAGTTTCGTCATACATTATTAGTTAGTGATCGTGTGGCAACTTTCTTACAAAAAAAGTAATCCTCCTTACAAAGTTAAACTTTACAAAATTGGCAAGTATTATACTATTTAATTTTTACAACACAAAATAATTTTTATTAAATCATCATTTAACAAATAAATTCACTTTTATTTTTTTTACAACAATCAGAGAGTAAGTATTGTGAAATTGTGTCCGAGTCTCAATGATTATAATTTATTTAAAGTCTAATACAATACAATTTCTTCCGATTTGTTTATACTAAATCGTAACAACAATTTCTGCGAATGTGTTATTTATGCTTCATTCTCAAAACTATTTTTCACTGTCGTTAAACAATTCCTTACTAAGCAATACTAAACAATATCTTCTTTAGATCTCACACTATATCCTGCTCACGTTTCTTGATGTGCACCCTTCACTCTGTTACTTCCTACTCAAGTCAAGTACGTTTCTCAAACTTCACTAAATAAAATTTATTAAATATTATCTCACTAAAAGAAAAGAAAAGAAATAAAAAATGATAACAAAATAGAGCAAATATAAAAATAAGAGAAAATTAATTATGCACGGGATTAGTGTGAATTCATTGTTAGAGATAGGTTTATTGACATTACGAAAATATAAATTTCGAAGTCAACAACAAGGACAAGGACAAGGGCATTGGCCCGAGTGGACGAGACAAGATGAGTATGATAAACATGTAGCTGTGTTTTCAATGGAACCATTTGTCTGTCTTTCTCAGGAATTTAAACAAGAACTGAATACAATGCTAAATGCATATATTAATCCATTTGACAAAGTATGGAATGGTGCAACAGTCATGGACAGAACAATGTTAGTAAAAAGTTTTGTTCCACTATGTTATGCATTAGGCAATTGAATATATACACACAATAATATTGTATTATTTCTGTATTTGCAAGTTATAATTGAAATAATATTACTGTGATATGCTATTTGAGACAAGCAAATAAATATTTGAGATAATTGATAATGTAATTAAATTATGTGAAATCAGGCAAATATTTTATGTATGCTAATGAATAGCTTGGGTTATGATTTGGGTAATTGAGTATGGTTTTCAAATCAAAACTTGGAAGTATTTATTTTGTTGTCAAAAGTTGTTCTATGAAATATGTAATATCAGGATATTTTTAGAGGTGTAAAATAGCATTGAGCAATGCTTCTGTTTTTTAACACCAAAAAAGTGTCAATAAACCGATCCCACGCAAACAAACGGCATTGAAAATCAATGTGTAATAGACAATAATATATTTACGGTACATGTCAATCATTAATAACTTTATTAACACGAAAAATAATTTAATTTTGCAAACTATTTTCTTAGGACATGTATTATTAATGTATTACATTATTATTTAAAATGACCACCCACAATATAACTAAATAATAATATTATGCTTCCTGCTGTTTCTGCAAAATTGCAAAGCCAACAATGTCAGTATCTCGGATCAAAGATTATTTTCAAGATGGCTTGAACCAATAACATATTCAGAGCAGTTTGCTCATTGATAGTAAATTCCGCTTTAATTATTTTTGCAACATACGTGTATGATTGATCATTATTATTATGTGGACAATAAGCGTGTACAATTCATCATATGCCATTTTAGTTTTAGCTTCGTTTTTCCTTGATCTTTTTTGTGTCAGCAGGAGACAAAAGTTACGTGATAAAATTTATTTTATTTTGCCCTGATCTGCATTATGTAAATTTTTGAACGTGAATTCGTGTTTTGTTTGTATATACGCGTGAATTCTTATATTTATATTTTTATAAAACAATAAACAAAGATTTTTCGCTAATATTTTAATAGTTTAATTATAAGCACTTTATAAGAAATTATTAATAATGGAAGAAGAAAATATTGCAATGATAACGCCAACAAAACTTACCTCTATGAAAAGAACTGACCTACAAAGAATGTGCAAGAAATTTGGTTTGAAGGCTAGTGGGAAGGTAATAAAGTAACAATTAAAATGAAATTGATAAATTGATAGAACATATTATAAAATTAAAATATCATAATAATAGTGTTTATTACTTTTGTTATTATTTTAAAAATATGTGTATATATATATAGAACACTGATTTACAAAAGAAATTAGCAACATACGCGTTGGAAAAATTAGGAGGAACGTTTGAAGATGAAGATTATGATGTTGAAACGGTAGACGTTGATGTTATTTCAAATCGTGGTGGCACTGACAGAACCTCTAAAAGCAATATGACTAATGAACTCATAATGCCCACTACACCACAAACACCTACTATAATTCCAAAAGAACAAATTAATGACTTGGGTAGATCACTTCTTGAAATTACTCAAAATGATAACGAAATTAAAGAAAGTGATGATGGTTAGTCATTAAATATTAAATTTGAATAAATTAATATTATGTATAATGCGATGTAATAATAACAATTTATTTATTATTCTGTTGGTTATTAGAAACAATGAATATAGTTCAAAATATTAAATTAGAAAACCCATTTCAAGTATCAATCGATGAAAACATTCAAAAGTCGACCGATGAACTTATTGACCAACCTATTGACGAATCTATTCGGAAACTTATTGACGAACCTATTCCAGAACTTATTGACGAACCCATTCCAGAACCTATTCTTGAATCTATGCCGAGTAACACCACTACATCAGAACAAGTGATTTTAGGTGAAAAATCTTTAGCAAACATGGAAAAAATTATTTCATCCACACCTATTGAAAATAAATTAAAAATTGAAAACTTGACCAATAAAGTTACAAACGGTATGTACAGCTTGATAAAATCAATTATTTACGTCACCTTTTTTTCAAAAATTGATTGAAATTTTATAAAAAAGATAATACAGATTTTTCATTCGATGTAGAAAATCAACAGTTTACTCCAAAAAAAAACCCCCCAGGTGAATACAAATAATATCATTTATACTACTTTTTTTTAAAACAGCTATCCATAATAATAGGTTATTTATATATATTAAAGCTCAAGAAATTGATTTAAATGTTTTGGGGAAAGGTTTGCCCATTTCCAATACTATTCCTATTGATATGGAAATTTTAAATTCGCCAATACATCCAAAGCATGATCAAATTACAGGTAATGATAATGATTATAAAAGTAACAAATGATAATGATAATAACTGATTAATTAACTAATTCAATAATATCAGAACCTAAAACTCCAGTCAAACATGTTAGAGAAATTCAGCAACGACGAGTTTCTAATTTCATGGAACTTCTTAAATCTACACCTATGAGCGAATCGCCGAAATTCATTGATAATGAAATTGGTAGTAATAATTCAAGTAAATTGAAGAAATTATTCACGGATGATAGTCCGGTAAAAGGACCTCAACTCGATCAAGATTCTCCTTTTGTAACCATGGAAACTAAAATACATGCAGTCGAGGAAACTACAGGCCGAACCTCCATGATCAACAATGATCTTTTAGGCTCAAACACTGATAGTATTGAAATTGAATTACAGCCTACTCCTATGGAATTATCTGATGATGTTAATGATGTACACAATCAAGATACTGTTCCCAAGATAGGAAACTTGCCTGTTCCTGATAATCATCAACCACAGCAGATTTCGTTTGATTTAATCAGTGATTCATATCAATCGCCAATTGTTCAACCAAATCAAATCAAATCATCGTTGTCATCAGCTACAGAAGTGGGCATAATGGCAGTAAAAGTAGAAGAAGATATTTTAATGACAATCGAAGATTCTAATATTAATCATCATGACGATGCTAATAAACCAAAAGAGATCAAAAAATCAGAAAATTCGATTGGGTCAAAACGTAAAGATATAGAAACGGTTAATGAATCTTTGATTAAAAAACAAAAGTTATCGAGCTCCCCTGACAAGATTTTCAATAGTACTGATAATGATAATAATAAGCAAAAAGGAAAATCACCAAAAAAAGTTGATAAGAAAGTTCAAAGTGAAGTGATTAATGTCAGAAATCCAACTGTAAAGAATACATATCAAAAAAAACAATTATTTTTAGCCAATCCTGAAGAACAAAGAAAAAAAGAATTTTTGAAACGTAAACAAGCTGCAAAAAATGGTTAGCAAATATCATCATTGTATGATGTTATAATTAATATTGTTTATTCTAATGTCATTTTATTATTATTATGATTTAGTTTCCCAACCTGTTTTGGAAAGAAAGAATCTTAAGAAAAGTCACAAGAAGGAAAATCAAAGTACTCTTACTAAAGAATCAAACCTTGATTCTGATAACTTGACAGCAGCAGCAGCAACAATAACAAAAACAAAAACAAAAATATCAACATCAACATCAACATCATTGCTTTCGTCAACTCCTTCCTCTTCAAATCAATTTAGCAAGAAAAATAGTTCTGTAACTAAAAACAAGATCAACATTACCGATAATAAGAATGATAATGTTAAATTATCTGGAAGATTAAACATTTTACGTGATCAAATGTGATCAGAAGAAGTAACAAGGGATGGATGGACGAGTGGGATTGATTTCAAAAATTAATATATTATTGCTACTGTTGTTATTTTGTTTTTATTGTGAATGGCAAATATACAACATATATAATAATAAATGCATGAATAATAATAAAGTTTTATTGTATTGACTTATTGATTTGTTTCCCCACTCCACGAAGAATTAAAAGCCTAGCTTGATCGTTATATAGTTGCAAAACAATTTTAAATTGTAGTGGAACCAATCCGCCAGTTTCTTAAATATCAGTCTTATCTTGCGAGAGGCATTGATGCCACGATCTATAAAAATTTAGTGTGCGAGAAGTAAAGTTTACAAATCATCCAATCTAATAAAAAATTTAATGTATCATATTAATGTATTGTTAATTAATGATGATATTTACCTGATATTTGTTGTTTTTACAAATTCATACAGACCAGAGTTATTGTCTTCCATCAATTTTCTCTCACAACATAAAGAACAAGTTTGACTACTCAGTTATCAGCCATCACAGCACCTTTTTTTTAATTCATCAAAAAGTTAGTTACCTGGTAGCCAGCCACTTGGGTACTTGAGAACTGTACCGTTTTCAATGCAACAACCGTATTTGAATTTTTTGTGATTCACATTCTTTTCATATAGACATGCCATCAAAGCATTCACCGGCATCGTTTATTATGATAATTCTCATATTTTGCAATTGCCCATGGAGCTGGATAAGATTTAGATATTTCGATCATTCTTATACCAAGTTTCCCATTTCTTTCTTGCTTTTTGAAGCCTGCAGTCACGTGCCATTATTTTATGCCGCGCTTAATTTATCTTTCTTGCCTGGTGACCTCGATCTATAACGATTAGATCATTTTTAGCAATTTCTAATTCACATTTCATCATAGTCATAATCATTAATTTTTGTGATTGTTGACGTTGTTGTCGGTATTAGTGTTGGTGTTAACGATGAACAAAACAAATCGTTATTATTTAATGTTGTATATATTGTTTCATGTTAATGCTACTAATGATCTTTCGGTAGTCTACATCCCTGCTTATTACCAGACACCCATGAATCCACGAATATATCTTCAGGAATTTGGGGTTTTTCAATAAAAAATGAAAGTGAAAAAATGCAATTTTAAGTTAATGCCACTATTATATACAACTCTTCACTTAGAACATTCACCAATCATCTAAAGATGACACCAAAATTGACAATCTTTGAGAGCTAGTAACTTCCAAATCAGTAATTTTAGAGAAAAGGTAAACTGATAGAATTGAAGCTAAAGACCCAAGTTTTATTCTACCCGGTTTTTAATTTTCTCATTATCATAAAATTCTGTGGAATTATTGAAATTCAAGGTTTGGGCATTTTTATATGTCTACAGTCAGACTCGTTAAGATATACCCGATTTTATTAAACCGATGAGTGAACATGGACTTCGGTTGGTTTAACAAGTTCTGGAAATTCAGAGTGCGCACCCTGAATTTTCAACACCAGCTGTAAAATTTCGGACTCTCTTTTTTATTGGCCGGCAAAGTCACGCGATAATAATAAGTTTATTATTATTCATATTCATATTCAGAAGTACGCGATTACGCTGTAATCGAAGTTTGTTGATTCCTACTTAATTTGGTAATCAATCGACCGACTAATAAATTTAACAGGAAAAGTACTTTCTGGACTATTATCCGACCGCAAATGTGATATCAGCAGAAATAAAAAGCATATCGCAGACTTGCAATCAATATCAACACCACATCATCTGAAGAAATTTATGCTGAGGCTAAGCTATGCATAAATTTCAAGCACTTAGTTTTGCGTATGAAATACTTTGTGATCTTAAAAAACGTGAAAGATATGATAAAATTGGCGTCTGGAAAATTTTGGAAAAGAAGAACAATAGGATGTTTGTTTTAAAGGATTATGGTCTGATGTTGTAAAATGCAAAGTCAATAAAGGAATTTAAAAGAAAATATGTCAAGATGAATTTAATATATAATTAGAGAGCATATATATTATCACCATATGTACATTTAAAAGAACTAATAATGAAAAACGTTGGAATTCAAGTATTGTAATAATAATAAAATTAAAAATTAAAAAAAGTAATGGTTTGAATATGTAGTCATTTGTTTGTTTTATTTTTTTTTAAAGATCAACATTATTAAAAAAAATTATATTATTTCGAATTATTATTATTAATAAATGAAAAATACAAATCATTATATTATATATTTCTATTTACATCTATATAGTTTTTGTTTGTTGATTAGTAAATAAAAATACATTAGAGTTCTTTACACCAAAAGTTTTGATCTAGTATTGCTATTGATGCTCCAAGACACCATCCAGTTTCAAATCCTTTTATCTTCTTTGCGATCTTTACTTCCCTTTCAAGAGGCATTTCATAACCAGTATGTAAAAGTTCGTAAATAAATGTTAAATCCATGCAATAATACGGATTACTTTTAAGTTCCTTTATAGCTTCTGGTAAATGAGAGAATATCTTATAATTTCCTGAACAAACTTGATCAGTAAGATCACGAAGTTCTTTTAATGTAAATTCAGATGGCATCCCTAATGGGATTATACGATCATAAAAATACGAAAAAGCATAGATATCATATACTGAAAATGTATCAGTAAGTGATGGTTGATATATGCCATCAAAAGCACATGGTAATAGTGAACATTCTTTATTTTTGTTAAGTATTTGTTCTGCTACAAATCTACATTGAGCATGTCCACCACCTGTGCCAATGAGTTTGACTGAGTCATTATCATCATTATTATTGATATCAGATTGCCATGATTCTGTATAATTTTTTGGTAAGCAAGGATGTGGAATATGATGTTCATCTTTAGGGTTTCCATCATACTTTAGAGCCAGATCAGAAATCAAATCATTCTTACTGCCACCAATATTGCTACGCCATAAATTTACCATAAATTTTATAATTGCTTTCCTCGCCTCCATTAATCCAAAATGTAAATAAGAATGTTGATATAAAATATATTTATGCCCACCGTATTGTAATTCATATCTATGTTCTCCAGGTGCAACTTCATAACCATCTAACGATCCAGGTTCAAAAACTATTTGAGTTGAGCCACCTCCAAGATCAAAAATTGCAGCTGTAGGTGTTTTTTTTTTTGAGCCAATTTTATTTAATAAATAATTAACCGTAATCCATGCATAAACACCTATTAATAAATTAATTATGAATATGTATATAGCTATATAAACAATATATATATATATATATATATATATAAAGAAATAAAGAAATCATAGTACCTTCATCTTTACCATCCATAATTGCCACACCATCATTTTCAATTATTTGAAAAGGATATTTGTTTTCTAAATGGTTTCTAACAGCTTCTAATATTCGGCTACTTTTTTCAGTTCCTAATAATCGTAAACCGGCAGTAGCCTTGACTGCCACCGGTGTACAATTATATAACCCTTTAGGAACATTTTCAAGTGCAATTTTTAGCAACCCATCTAAACTTCTTGCTGCTGCATCAGGATCATCAGCATATGCAGAAAGACCAGGTTCAATATGAGCAAATATTTCATCTTCTAATTCTGGTGCAGATTTACAGTAGTTAAATCTATAAACATGAATCCGAGAACCTGTAGAACCTGCATCGATAATTAACGCATATTGAATGAGCGAATATCCAGGATATGCTAAAGTACAATGTGAAGATTGTAGTTGAGGCGAAGAAGAAGTTACTGGCTTTTTTGGCTTTTTTGGCTTTGATGGTAATTTCTCGGAAGCTTTAGTTGGTAGAGGATTTATTTTAGTACTTTCTAATTCTTCTACATCATTGGTTGGAGTTATGTGAAACAAATCTGGATCTGTTAAATGAATTTTAAATTTTGTTTTATTATTTTTGAGGATTTTATAAATCTACCTTTTTATTTTATTTATTTTATTTTATTTACCTTCGAAACCTGGAAATACTGGTATTATGCCTTTTTTTTGTTCGTTTGGAACAAAAGCCCAAATTAAGAATAATATAAAAATTAAAAATATTATAGCTTTGATGATGGGAAAACTTTTAACATAGATTACCACCATCGCTTTAGAATGAGTGATAATAAAAAAAATTTTTGTTTACTATTTATATATATATTTATTTATTTAACGAAAGAATACAACTCAATCAAATCAGTGCAACATACTTTGTAACAATTGGCAATATTTTGGTAATATTTAGAAAGAATTGGCAACGATACTATCTCTCTCTGGAAATTTTCGAAAGAAAAGG